CCGCACTGCACAGGTATGACAACTGCCTGCCCGCATTGCACAGGTATGACAACTGCAAAAACATGCAAGCGACATGCTACTCCTACACTAGTCTTTACAAGACGACTTTTCGGCCGTCGTTCAGGTAGGGATGTCACTAATTTTTTCGTTTACTTTAAACACATGACTGCAGGAAGGTTTGTTATCCTACAAGACCGCTCAAACCATGCCACCAACAACAATTCCCACCACCGAGCGAGAAGGCGACAGCGACAAAATATGAAGGAGTGTGCTCGAACGGAGCAGAGGACATCGACATTGCGATCGGCGGTGCTCGTGGAAGCCCGCCATTGGTATGTCGCAGTATGCTCCTTGGAGCACGTGTTTGGGGCACTGTCGTTTGGAAAACATACTGTCTGTGGCATCCCGAACTCCAGACCGGCGAGTCAGCTTGCAGTGCTGCAAGTTCTTAAGAACTCCGAGCGTTGTCATCTCGGAGATAGATTCGCAGGAACTCCCACTGCGGCAGCATCGGTGCCGTCATAGTAGCGGCTCCCTGCAGGAAGTCCCAACCAAGAGAGGCACTGGCAGCAGTGTCCAACCTGCAGCAGGGATTATGAACTGACAGCTCGAACATGCATGAGCGAGCCTGAGTAGAGGCCACAGCCAGGTGTCGTCAGTGTCAAGAGATCCAGAGCAAGCTGCACCAGCAAACTTGACCTGCAACTGGAAAGACCCGATATGAACATGACAAACCTGGAAGCAACCGGTCTGGTGCAGATTTTCCTCCGAGAGCCATGCTTTGCAGTCACTTCGTTAAGCGTTCAGCGTCTGCTTTGAATTATACCTGCAGCTTCAAACCTGCAGTAGTCTGCAGTAGTGTTTGCAAGACGTTCGTCGCTCTGTTCCGGGAAGGTCCGGCAGTGCTTCTGATGCAGTCACTTTGTTCAGTGTCTGCTTTGGATTGAAAGTGCAGCTTCGTGGAGGGGCTCTTTGCAGAAATACGGCCAACAACTAAAGTAACCACAGCAGGAGTTCGCAAGCTTTGGCTAGAAATCTATCTTCTTCCTGAAAGAATCTCGATCGAGAGCCACGTGCCCGAGACCACCGCTGGGCGGGGGGCATGTTGCTCGGCAGGACCCCTCCGGAACTCTCACAGTTCAAGACCCTCGTCAGGTACATGGTATGAGCTGCAACGGATTCATTCTGAGCTCTCACACCTTTGACTCCGGAAAGTCCTGGTCCGGACCGTCCGGACGCTTCTTTCCCTCTTCGCCCTCTGCGCCCTCCTCGTCAGCCGTAGTTGCATCAGCATTGGTGCCCTCCTCGCCCTCCGCCTCATCATGCTTGCCAAACCCACCGAACGCAACTGCGGAGCTCTGCCACGTGCTTGCCAAAGGATTCACACGGGCGTTCTGCGGGACCACGGACTGAAACACCACCGGGGCATCGGTGTAGGTCACCTCTTCCGGCAGGTGCTCCAGGGACAGCCTTTGGCGCGTGGGTGCTGCACGGAGCGAAGCCACAAGGTTGAAGACTTCTTGGCCCGAGTTCTCCAGAGACAAGTCGATCACATAGACCCAGGGCGTCTTCTGGTCTACCAGGGACTTGTTCTTGATTGCAACGCGGGCCATGGGATGCGAATGCAGGGGATCGGCGGACATCAGAGTCACCCGCCAACACGGCACCGGATCAACCATGTAAACCTTCTCGATCTTCACCTCCACGTAGCTGTCCCTGCCAGCCACGGCCTTCACACCTGCGCGACCAGCAGTCCCCGGCTGATACTCATAGGCAGTCTCGCTGAATGCGAACTTGCAGCCGCAGGCCGCGAAGCAATCAACACAAGGCTTGCAGCAGGGTGGACACTTGCAGCACGTGCAGCAAGGCGGACATTTGCAGCACTGTGGACAATTAATGTGGCAGGGTGGACACTTGAAGCAATCGCACTTCGGAGGACAGCATCGTGGACAGCACAGCTGGCAGCATCCGCAGCACGTCGCCATGCAGCCGTTGCAAGATCCAGCGCAAAAGGCCTCTCCACTAGTGGCGGTTGTCTTCTTGAGTCTCCTTCCTGCTGTGCCAGCCACGGCCGCCTGCCCAGCCACGGCCTTCACGGCGGCATGGTACTCCGTGGTGGTCCTTTCTTCAAACCGCCTGTCGACGGATTCGACTACCTCTACGAGCAAGCCGTCGCCACTGCGGTACAGGTACCTGAGTCTGTTCGATCTGCAAGCTTGAAATTTCCGGACACATCGCACTGGCACTCGCAACTGGCCGAACAAAGTGCATTAAGTGGCGATCCAACCAGATGATGTCAATCAGTGTCCCTGCTGCACACATCACACCAATGTTTGAAGACCGTGTTATGATCACTGTCGCACTGCTCCTCACTGCTCCTCACTGCTCCTAGTATGACCGATACGTACCCTGGTTAATCCCGCGAATACCTCCACAATACTCCCACTCGCGAGATCTCCTCAAGACACCTCCTCCTCAAAACGCATCCGGTTTGGGAGTTTCGACACATCGAGCTTCCCCGGTAATTACCACTGAATACGACTCCCGTGGGCGGGCAGTGTGACTTCCCCTTACTGGACTTGCTCGTATCGCCTGAACCACACAGCGGCAGGATCGCTACTTGTAGGATTGGGGCGCTATTCTCATGTCAGCCTGCCCATCCGAGAGCAAAAGGATTTCCACTCAGGCTTCGGTGCCCTGGGCCAGTGCGGTGGACCTCGACCATGCGGGGCAGGCTGTCTGCATAGGCGGCTTGCACCTTGTCAGGAAAGGAAAGTGTGCCAGAGACTAAAACGTGATGGTTTATAAACGCGAAGGAAGCTCTTTCCGGTAGCGTCCAACTTCGCTTGCCCCCACTCGGTTAGCTGCACAGAACAGTAGGTGGGGGAGCAAAACCAAGCTTTTGGGACACAACATGGCAACATTTGCAGCCTTCTTGCTGGAGGCCATCCACTTGACATCTCGGAGCTCGCCCTTCAGCTCTGCCGTCCAATCGATCTCTTTCAAGATGATCATGTTCTTCATCTTCAAGCCCTTTGTGGTCATGAGCTTATCCATATCCATGCTCAGCAACTCTGTTTTGGCTGGGATCTTTGCCATGATCTTCTCGGCGCCCCGCGGCAAGACCTTCTCAAAGGGGTGGTCGGAATCCAGAAGGTTGTTGGCCTCCAAGAAGAAGTCGAAGCCGCTGTTGAAGGAGAGCGAATAGAGACCATAAAAAAGATTAAGTTGGTTCTCATGGCTCCAGCTTGGGTGGATGCCCTCCTCTGGAAGCACTGCTGTTGCCACTTCCGTCGTGATCGACTTCGTACCTTTGACCATCTCCTGCTGAGATGGAGCCGTGCCCGGTTGGGGTGCTTCACTGGGTGTGGTGGCCGCTGGAGGCGTGGCGCTGTTGGCTGCTTCGCGTCTCTCGGTCTTCGAGCCAGTGAACCATTCCATGCTTGGCTTCGAATCCTTTTGGGCTGGGCTCTCTCTAGGGAGGGTAGTCCC